AAAATACTATGCATATTTGGAAAGTCTGAGTTAACACACTTTTGTCTTCCGTAACCCTCTGTAGTTTGTATTTGTTGGAGAAAATTCTAATTAAAAAGTCCCATTAAATTGTCGTCGGCAGAATGAATTGTATAATGCACCTAGCATGTTAACTGATCATTCAATCACACATTTTGCAAAGTACTTTTTTTCAGCTAGAACACCCCAGGTGTCCACAAGTCTCACAGAATAATATTATAATTTTTTTTTTAAAACAGAACAAACACAAGATCTGCTGAGGCTCGAAACAGATTGGGTAGGAGGGGAAAATGGTAGAAGCAAGATGCAAAAAGACAGCAATGGGCAGAAGACAAAGTATTCGGTCCACAGTTCTCTATTGTTCAGAAGAAAAGTTTGCATGCAACATCCCAGTCATTACTTTCAGTCATTACTTCAGGCCACTGAACTTGGCACTCATGATCGCAGAGGGGAACGTCGAAAAAGCAAAGACAATGAGGCGTACTATCCCAGTCCCATACGGTTCCAAAAACAGATCTTTGTTTTCAATTCTTCCAGTTCTTGCCTGTCTGAAGACAGGTCTTGTGCCGACGTGCCCTGTACCCCTCCGACAGCATGTCAGGCAAACAGTTTAAGCAGCTGCTGGAGGGTGAGACCTATTCACTCGTCGAGAGGGAAAGCGTGTGTCTGGTTAATGGGCAAGATTTAACTATGAGGTACAGAAGCCATGAAATCTTACGTGCGTTCTTAGTGTTCTAAACAATAACCACGCATATCAAACATGAGAGTATTTCGAGAAAACCAAAGCTCTGTACGATGCACAGACACAACATGGACATCACTGGCAGCAGTACCGGTTATGGATACAGCAAAAAAAACAATACATTAAGAATTTATACATTTTCTTTGCTGGTTTCTAATTTTATGACATGGGTGACTAAATCATTAAAATAGATTCAAGTGTCGAGTTAATTATTTGGCCACCAGTGACAGAGACAACTTTACAGGAAAATGTGACAAGTCCAGGAAAAGTACTGAAACTTTGTAATGATGAATCCCTTTGCTAAAATAATATTGGCGGGGGACGCCAAACACTGTTTGGCTTATTTCCCTCTCACCAATATATGTTTCTACAAAGGTCAGATACTCAGATGTCTGTATCCTTGGCCTATAGATATGTAAGTGGAGTTTAGTTTTTTTTTGTAGTTACATGTAATACAGTTTTATCAAATATACATAAATCCAATGTCGTGTTGGAATTGCCACATAGCAAGTGCACAATGTGTTATTCTCCCGGAATATCATTCTAATAGAATATTGTAGAAATACAGCAATTTGTTTTCTTGGATACAAAACTGTGTTATGGAAGTGTCACGGCTCCCCGCGATTCTGCCAGCGTGGCCGCACTGAAACATAGCAGCTAAGCTGACTGAAAAATCTTATACTTAGCTTGGTCGCGGCAAACCGCTGCCCGACCTCCTTCCATTACGGTCCCCAGCGAGTACGGCATTCCTAGAGATGCCAACCACTGCGGTTTCCGGTTTTAGTAGGAGACTCACCTCCCCCCACATCAAACATCATCTCATAGACGCGCACGCACATTTTGGGGTCAGAGGTCAGAGACAGCCAATTACTGCCTAAGGAGGGTTTTTTAAACCCGAATTACCTTTTTGTCAGTGCCTTTTCGTGGTTTCCACCAGCTGGTTATCTGAGAGTGTGTTCCTGATTGGGTTTTTCTGGTATTTGACTTTGGCTTTGTTTTGACTTCCCTGATTTCTGGTATCCTTGACTTTTCGTTTTTCTCATCGTTGTGTCCCGTTCTGTGTCCCTGACCTCGGCAAGTATTTTGACTATTCTATGGTACGTTAAGTCGGCCATTCTAAGGTCCGGTTAGACGTCATCCTTAGTCCTAGGTGTGATACTATTCTGTGTGCTGGATCAACTATAATCCTGACAAGAAGTTAGACACGTTATTGTCTTGTTTTACGTGCTAAAATGACTTTTTCTTTTGAAACTGTCATGTTTTTTCACTAAAATGAGAATTCAAGGTGAATTAAAACAATTTTAAATTTCATATGAAAACAAGCTAAACTCAAAAAATTCTCTGGCAGAATTTTGGTTTCAATTTGGATATTTAAGCCTTAAATGGTACCTGTCATGCCCCAAACAAATGATGCTCATTAGATTTGTAATATGATTTTATCTATACATTGTGCTAGTAGTTTGCTAGCTAATGTATGGATTACCAGAAAAACCTATTTAAAAATGTTTTTTTCTACTAGTTGTCAGTTAATGCCAACTGACAGTCCAGACACCTAAAGCACTTTAGCTTGCTGAAGTGCTTTATGTCTACAGAGTGTGTCTTTTTCTTTTCATTTTATATAAAGTGAAGAATTGAAAAGAAAATGACACTTTTACAAAGTAACATTTTTACACCCCGTGGCGTTTCAATCAGCTAACAGGTTGGGGGAAGATTACTTCCTGGTTGGGTTAACTCAGTTGAGCTAAACTCAAGGAGCAGGCAATTACCCAGAGCACCTGCCTTGCAAAGACTTCTCATTGAGCTGCTTTGGGAAGTCTGTGATTGGACAGCCACAGCAAGTCTGGGCGGGGTTAGAAGGGGAGGGCTTGCAAAGGCAGCAGACAAGAGATCTGCATCTTTTTAAGCACTTTTTAGATAAACCCTCAATTAAAAAATACATAATTAAGTTAAAAATGTTGTGTGTGTGTGTGTATGTATATATATATATATATATATATATATATATGGAAGGCAGGGCCTGAAGTTGTGGGAGGGGCTTGGTTCCCCCTCTTAAGGAGCACCAGCCCTGCACTCACCACCGTCTCAAGTCTGGAGATTTGCATACCCTAACTTCCGGTCCGTGCAAATCACCATTTTCTATTCTGAAAACCCGTGGAAACACTTACCTGGTCCTGCAGCTCCTGGTCAGCTCGCACGCTGGTTCCTGACTCCACGGAGACTCAGCAAGTCTTCCTTACCTCGCCAACCACCCTCCGACTGGTGCCAATTTGAATCCAAGCCGTAAGTCACGGCTGCCTGTCGTGCCGCTGTCGCGGTCGCTTCGTGTCATCCTGGGCTGGCCCTATCATTATTACATGCTTCTCTGTTCGTGTTTTTTGTTTGTATGATTCATGGCATCCGAACGCTTAGGTTATGCATTCGGTCAGAATCACTCAGTTTGGCGGGCTTTTCGGGAGCAGATGCATGAACGCTTTCTTCAAACACATGAACTAACCTCATTTGTATGGTTTCGTTAAATTGATAGTGTTCGGTTGTATGCACACATAGCCCTTCTAATGGGCCGTTCGTATATTTAACCGAAAACTCTATTTTCTGGATTTGTAAAACTGCCGATTAGTTAATTTTAATTTTGTATTTATGTTGGTTATACCGACCTCTGGTGGTCAGACTAGTTATTACTTATTGTACTATGTGAAGCTTATCAAGGCTAAGTATTGTATTGGTATAAGTAGTTCAGGAATTTTTATTCTGCTCGGCTCATGATCTGATTTTCATGCTGTTACATATGTTTCTGTTCCACGATACGTTCTGAATTTCAAAACGGCCTTCACTCCAGACATTCTCTTTTTGCTGAAATACAGGTTCCACTTTTCTGTCTCTAGTACATAGATATCTAAACACGTACGTTATATACACATACCATTTTGAAGTGTTCAAATGTTATACATTATGTGTATGGGGCATAGATTAGGTGTTTGGGCCATTTAAAGCCTATAAGTGATTATAGACCTCTTATGTTTCAGTCTTAACGGCATCCACAGGGGGCTGCTACTCTATTACCCTTTTCATCTGGTATAGGTCAGTCATTTACGATTAATTGTCCATTTAGGGTCTTACAAGGCCTGGGTACTTATGTGTAATTTCTGCATAGGTTTAGGCCATCCTTGCAGCTTTTTCTCTTTGGTTCCAGTCTTCTGCATTTGGATAATTTATCGGTAGGTATCTTGTTAGCAGTGGGGACATATCGATATAACCCTGCAAAAACTCACAATTACTCTCGTAGGTTACTACAGGTCGCCTGTATCACCTTATCCGTTTACTTACTTTGCTCATCAGGTACGTCCTTTTTCGCAATTTTCTCCCAACCCCGTCGGGTTCATAGTTATACACTGGCATTGGAGCATAGGAGCCTCTAGATATGTTTTCTGGCCTTCTACGCCTTACGTTAGTGGTCCCGCGAGGCCATCTCCCATCCTCATTTCGGAGGTACGACATTCCCTCTGGCCAATTCATAGTAAGCCGCCTCGCTTGGTTGCATAGAGAGGGCCTCACCTGTCACTCCCATTCTGTCTTTTGCTGTTACTTGTCACAGAGAGGCCAACACCCCGCCATAATGTCAATGGCCATGTACCACACTCGGGCCAATTCATAGGTAGTGCCTCT